TTACTTTATCTGTTGTTTTATGTTTAGTTTAGTTTAGAACAGACAAAAAGCACCATCAAAACAATAGTGCCACACAAACCAGACTATGAGTTCAGTATTTTTTGTTCAACAGACAAAAGTACTGTATAAAAGAAGGAAAAACTAAGATAATGAAATCATGGGCTGATTTTCAATCAGCTACTTATTATTTGGGATGCACAATAGGAATCAGATGATTATTATTTTATAACATAAATAACACTAGTCAGGAAATTGTACTTGCACTGTATTTGAGTTGTGCTACTGCACCTATACCATAACCTTGTGACTGCTGCTAAATAGCCAGTAGTCACAAGATTATGGTATAGGTGCGGTAGCACAACTCTAGTTTCGATGTAGCACTTTCTTACTATACACTGGTTTGCTGATGTTTACAGGCTCTCTGTAATTGGTCTAAAATGTGTCTTTATGATACATGCAGTTGTTCAGTGTTCTGTACATCCTGACAATACCATTTATATGGTCAGAAAATAATATGGTGATGTAATTTATCACGATAAACATCATCATATTGCCCACCTTAGAACTGAAACTTTTTTGGTTTTAGAAGTGGTAAAGAGCAAATGTTCATTTTGAAATGTTTATGTTTACTGAACACTGTATTGCTCTGAAAATTGTATGGAACATTAAGTTAAAAAAAACTTTGGTTGTTTAAACGTGCACCATTTGAGATTCTTCAGCTAATGATGGAAGTTGTACTGTTTTTTATGGCATTCCAGGCATTTCAAAAGTATACACCACAAAGGCTAAGCAACCATCTGGGTTCTTCCAATGCTAACAAAACCGTAGGTTTTCATCTGTGACGACAGTGATAAATTAGCTGTGGTGCCTCATTCTTGAACGGATTTTATAAATTCATATATGCACATTTCCCATGAAGTGAGTTGGTGTATCTGAGCAGGATTTCATGACAAAAGATTTATGGTATCATTAGTACGGCACACATGAGGTAGAGATCCAGCAGCTCTGTTATTATACAGTTGTATACAGAAGTTTAGGTGCCCCTAGTGAAATGCATGAGTTTCATTGATTTTGTAAATGAAAATAAGTGAACACATCCTCTATAGGGAACACACTTCTGCACATTTTAATGCACAATTACTATTTATTTGCTGAATTTAACATATTGAGGATAAAGTGTGGCTTGTTATGGCACATTTTATATTTTTGTATTTTTTTCCAAGATGTTAAACTCAGCAAATAAAAAATTGTGCACTAAATTGCCATATTTAAGTGTGTTCACTGTGGAGGATGTGGTAATTTAATTTCACCTACAAAATCAGCAAAACATGTCATTTGACCAGGGGCGTTCCACCTCTTGCATACTGCTTTGACTCCAATTTTGACTTCCAGTTGATACTTCTTCCTCATGCTCCACAATTTTATTCTCTTGCCAGAACAAGTTTTTGTCTGCCATGTTAGTATTTGCTGGGAACGCTGTGTTGTGGTCATTAGCGTGTTTTTTTCCACTTATTTGGTTTCATTGTCTTTCATTCAAAGTGATTATAAATGTACCATCAGAAAGGATAGCATGAGAGAGAGAAAGAGATACAGAGAGAGAGAGAGAGAGAGAGAGAGAGAGAATGAGAGAGCCACATTAGGTCACTGGGGGATGAGTGGGCATATGCCGGTTGTTAAGAAAGTGAGAGAGACGGAGACCTACAGAGGAATGCTGGAGGGATGAGAAAAAAAGAGAGGGAGAGGAAGAGAGAGAGAGCGAGGGAGAGAGGGCTGGAGGGCTGCTATTTAATGTGATAAATGGGTTGTGACAGTGCGTCTCCAAACCCCCTCCAACCAGGGAGCAAGACACGGAAATAGAAAGCAGGATTGGGTTTAGGAAAATAATAAGGAAAAAAAGAAGAAGAATGCGAGCGATGCCACAGAAGCGCACGATAAGATGGACGGCACGGCTTTATTCTTTTTAACGTGGCCTCAGCGACAGTGCCTCTGTTTTCTAAGATAACAGATAACAGCAGGGAATCCTCTAGGTCATTTCATTGAAAGAAAGCGAGAGAGAAAGGAAGAAAGAAAGAAAGAGAAAGGAGTAAGAAAGAAAAGGAGAGGAAGAAAAAAGTAAGACAAAGAGGATGAGGAGTCAGGACAGCAGCGAGTCTGAAAAAGAGAGAAGCTTTGAGTGCAGAAGGGAAAAAATGCGAGGGGAAAATCTGAGTTGCCTTTACTTAATTTACAACATTCTTGATTTGAGTCCAATTAATGATACACAACACAGGCTTTGAAAGCTCGCATTGTGAGCTGATGCTCGGACTTCAGCCTGAAGTTTTATAGGGTGTCCAATGTCTTGTTGCTCGTTAGAAAGAGGGCGTAACCTAGGCGGATATCGTGTTTTGCGGGGTGAAGAAATGTGTCTGGAATTCGGTATCGAGGGACAAATTCCTCATACCAGCCCTTGAAAGAGCCATACTCAGTTTCATTCGCTCTTCACTGCTTGCGGTTATGCTTCAGTTATGGCACTTCAGTAATCTGTCATAGTTTATACTTCAGAAGTAATTGTTTATTGGTGCCCACAGATGACCTTTTGCAACCCAAGTAGCACTGCAAGCAGCGTTAGACTAGAGAATTCGGCCCTCACTGTAAAAATGGGTCAATTCAAAAAAGTTAGCAACCTGGTTGCCTTACAAATTGGAGTTCACTGAATTTCCAATAGTAACCCAACAGAACAATAATCTGTTTTACATTCTGTTAACTTTATTTGAAGTTCAATGAACTCAAATTTGCCCACTGATGGACCAGCAACCTGTCCAGGGTGTTTCTTGCCTTCCACCTAATGGCCGCTGGGTTACTAGCCAGGTTACTAACTAAGTTAATACACTGACACATTCATTAGCCTTGCCCACATCAAGTGTAGATGTGTTTTACAAGAAAGTATCATTATTATGTGGTGAATTTGAACTGTGCCTTCAGCGTACGATGGTGGTATGAGGGAGGGGAGAGAACTTTTGGACAGTGGTAGGACTGACATAGAACTGAGGAACAAGCAGGAGATGGTGTGGTAGTGAAGACTGCAAAAAACTTTGTCAAGGGAAACAAAGCAGACATGGCAATTTTTAGGGCGTTGGATTGGAAGGAGGAGGTTTCAGGCATGGTCCTTCCAAATTTTGGTTATTTCCAGTTCCATCATGTCAGTTCTGACTCCTGGCAACCATGTGGATAGTATTTCTCCAGAATATCCCATCTCCTGTTTGGATCTTCAGGTCTCTTAATGGCTTGTTCATGACTCCCCTGATTGTCTTCGTCCATCTTGTTGCAGGCTGTCCTCTTCCTCTTTTACCTCCAGCTTTCCAGGCATACTTGTCTTTTTGTTTTTCCCAATGAATTTTTGTCTTTTCCATCCAAAATAAGAGAGCTTCAGTTTGGATATCTGGGCTTTGAGTGCGAGGTGATGCTTAATTTGGTCAACGATCCAGTTGTTTTCTTTGCCCTCCGAGGTCTTCTCCAGCAGCAAAGTTCAAAGGCATCAGTTTTTTTCTGTCCTGCTTTTTTGTCCAGCTTTCACACCCATAATGACCAACAGAAAAAAAACACAGCCTGGACAATTCTGATCTGTTGGTAGAGACACATTATTTTTAAGCTACTTCATCCTTGTTCTGCTGAGTGCTGATCTGCATTGTGTTTCTCAACTGCTGGAACCTTTGTTGTTAATAATTGATCCAAGTAGGCACAGGCTGTCCACATCTTCAACATCAGTGGTAAAGTTAGTGGTCTTCCCTGATGTCGTAACCTTTGTTTTCTTCATATTGACCTCAAGTCCCATTTTTTTATATATATATATATATATATATACATATATATATATATGGATTTTCACCCAATTATCTCCCCAGTTTAGCAGTTTAGTCGTCGCCAGTCACCCGCTAGTTAGGACTCCCCTAATCACACGATACTATCAACGGCACAGGCTTCCTCCGAGACCTGTGAAGCACCACTGCATCTTTTCGAATTGCCGCTCACACAACGTCATTGGACAGCTGAACGCTAACAGACGCCTGCGCTGACTAGGGGAGAAGGAGGGGCCATCCTACCCACCCAGAGAGAGCGAGGCCAATTGTGCTCTCTCGGACTCCCGGCTACGGATGGCTGTAGCATCACCAGGGATCTGCGATCTCCTGATGATAGGGCCAACGCTTAGACGGTTGCACCACTCGGGAGCCCCCACTATGTTCTTTAACCCCTTAAGTGTCTAAGTTTTATTATATGCTTCTATAACGTAAAAATATCCCAGCCAGTTTGCATTGAATTTCCTCTAGTTACTGAATAATAAGCCATAGTAGGTAATAAACCTGGGATTTTTAGGGGTCAGCTTTTCTTTATAAGGACTTCCAGATTTCCTGATTAAATGTATACAAATTTTTCCTGACCTCAAATGTTGTTGATCATTTAAGGCATGTTTGGTGTCTCTACTTTGCTTCTTTAGTGTACAGTGCTTGTATCTTGCTTAAGTCTTGATTGATTTATGCAAACATTTTGAAATTGATAGAATTGTGTTTTAGGTTATGAGATTGTAGTTAACTACAGTGAACATTCTTATGTTTAATATTTCTATTACATCCATGTCTCCTCAAGATGTTTCTTACAGTGATTACTACAGTTACAGTATACACACCATTATCCAACACTGCTGTGCCCTAAAGTGTCAAAAATGGCATGAACTGTATCTCCATGGCATACGTCCAGATCAGCTTCCTTCCTTCACAGAACACACACACACACACACAAACAGCCACACACCCTTGGAGTCCTTGGAGTGAACACAGCATGAATGTTGATGAGATGTTAATGTAATGCTGGGTGTTGGATTATTCACATACTTAAAAATGTATGTTGTACTTTAAGTGTCTACATTTTAAGAATGCATACTGAAGTGTGTGTGTGTGTGTGTGTGTGTGTGTGTGTGTGTGTGTGTAATGTTAATAGGACATTAACGTTAAGGCTTTCTGTTGCAGTGTGGATGGCCCGGTTCTCTCAGGAGCCAGCAGACCAGTCAGTGGTTCTGGGCCAGAGAGTGGTCCTGTCCTGTGTGGTCTTCAACTACTCGGGCATTGTGCAGTGGACCAAGGATGGACTGGCCTTAGGCATTGGGGAAGACCTCCGGGGTTAGTCATAAAAGTACCTCTATCTCTGTCTCTCTCTCTCTCTCTCTCTCTCTCTCTCTCTCTCTCTCTCTTTTCTGTTGTCTTGCTTGGTGAATGCCATAAGGCAGGTCAGTGTACTTTTTTAATAATAGCTGTAACAATGTACAGGAATAGTGTACTTTCTCTCTTTTCTTCTCTGTCTCTCTCTCTCTCTCTCTCTCTCTCTCTCTCTCTCTCTCTCTTTTCTCTGTCTTTGTCTCTCTCTCTTTCTGTCTTTTTTTCCCTGTCTGTGTGTGTGTCTCTCTCTCTGTCTCTCTATTCTCTCTGTTTCTGTATGGGTTTCTCTCTAAATATATTCTTTCTCTCTCCCTTGCTTTCTCTCTCCTCTTTTTCTCTGTTTTTCTCTCTTTCTATTCTCTCTCGTCCTCTCTTTGTCTCTCTCTTCACTCTCTCTTACTCTCTCTTTTCCTTTCTCTCTCTTTCTTTCCCTCTCTCTTCTTCTCTACTATTATTCTCTGTCTTCCTTTCACTTGCTCTGTCTCTCTCTCTCTTTTCTCTTTTCCTCTCTATTCTGTCTTTGTCTTTCTTTCTGTCTCTCTTTCCTTCTTTCTTTCCCTTTCTCTCTCTCTATTTCTCTCCGTCTTTCCCACTTTATCTTTCTTTTTCCTCTTACTTTCTCTGTATTTCTCTCTTGCTTTCTCTCTCTTTCACTTGTCTTTTTCTTCTCTCTATTCTATCTCTTTCTTTACTTTCTCTCTCTCTTTCTGTTTTTCTCTCTCCTCTTACTCTCTCTGAATTTCTCACTCCGGCTCTCTCTCACACACACACACTTCTCTCTCTCTCTTCCTTTCCTTTCTCTCTCTGGCTCTTTCTCTCTCTCTCTCTCTCTCTCTCTCTCTCTCTCTCTCTCTCTCTCTCTCTCTCTCCCCCCCCTCTCTGGTTGTAATGTTGCATTGTTGTTGTAATGCTTCATTGCTCTGTCCCATGGCTTTTAAACAGAATCATGTGAATGAGCACCAGTGCGCACACACACACAAACACACACACACACACACACAGACACACACACACACACACACACACACACACACTCATCATGCTTCAGATAAAAATACACACAGTAAACATGGTGGATACAACACGCACACACAATAAACATAGCACGCAAACACTGCAAACGTACACAAATGCCCACAGATACACTAAACCAGCTAACTCATGCAGTTTCCAGAGAAAAAAGATAGAGAAGAAGACAGTGAGGGAGAAGGAGAGAGAGAATGATGTAATCCACAGCAGTATTTCTGTCATTTCTCTTGCAGCAGCAACTAGAAATGCCCATGTCATAACGCTGCTAGATTTTATACTGCCTCAGAGAACTCACTCTTCTGCCACCTAGTGGAGAGCAGAAACACACGGCTGGGTGTGTGCATGTGTGCAGTTCCGGGTGTCAGTCAGTGTGTGTGGCTTGTTATCTGATCAGAATGAGTCTGTCTTTAAATGACATCCTCCTTCAGTCCACAAATGTGCATTTAAGGTGCTCAAAACTAAACTGAGAATGAATCCCTGACCTCTGTGGATTAAAAGATTGATTATTATGTAGGACTGGGCAACGTGACATTATCATTATCATGTACATTATGTCACAATACTCTGTTCTGAATATCTGGTGGGTGGGTACTTGTAGAACAACTGTTTTTTAGACCAATAGAGAGCCTGTAAATAACAAGTGTATAGTAGGTCTGAGCGATATTAGGCATGGGCGATATCTAAAAATAATTGACATGATATTTTCTAGTTACGAAGTTGTGATTATTGATTATATTGCACATATAAACATTAACTGTTTTAATGAAAATCTTTAATAAAAGCACATATAAAATCATATTTTGAAAACTATTTTATATAATTAGCGTTACAGCAAACTTGTGCATTCACGAGTTCAGAAGAACTTACTTTCAGGTTAAAGCTATCTGCTCTACAGTCAAAGCCTGTCACTTTAGCTCAGTTTATTACTGCAGTGAGTTACATTGAAGCAAGCTAAAGTTCGAAGCATGTCAGCATTTATTTTCAGTTCCATGTACTCTTCTTTCTCTCTCTCTCTCTCTCTCTCTCTCTCTCTCTCTCTCTCTCTCTTAAACAGAAAATTATGGACTATTTGAGAACTGAAAACCTTTTGGTAGTAAAACATTTCACCTTTTGTTTTGAAAGTTGTTACTGTAAGCGTGCATTTGTGAGCTCTTACTAGTGGGTTCAAGGCTGTTTCTTCTTTTTAAATGATGCACACAAAGGTGACTTGTGTGCTGATATCACCCTCTGTTGGAGAAACTACAGACTGCCAAACATGCTTGAGTTAGCTTAACTCAGCTTGAGTGTGTTACACTGCCATGTCCTTGTCCTTTACATGGTTAAAAAAAGTGGGCTTTCCATCAAATAGGGAAGGCTTTTAAGCTATAGACGCCTGTGGGAAACAACAAAGTATTACATTTTTCAAACACATGTCAACCACTGGGACATTAAACTGTATGAAAATGCTGAGAGTTTTCCTGAGACTGTATACCTTACAGTAGGGGACACCCCAGCAGAGACAGTGGTAAACTGGCTGTACGATAGCATTACTTACACCATTGCTAATTGTTGCTGTGTAATAAATTGTTTTAACAGTAAAATGTAATAAAACATTATGTATACATATTATAAAAAATTATTTAGCACATTGTTTTATATTAAATTAGTCTTCTAAATTAGTCTATATATCCGTTATCTTTCCAAACGCACCTTTAAACCATCATCAGGTTAGTTGTCTGTTATTGCTGATATCCATCATCAAGCCGCATAGTGTAAATGGCAAAGTAACAAGTTACTGAATGAATTAGACAATTATGCCATTATACTTCTTATTCATGTCTCTGTGGTTATGATATTTGTTGAATATGTTATAACTTATATATTCACTGTCTGAAAAATACAGGTGTATATTGTAAATGGTGTGGTCAATAGGAGGTTTGAGCTGTGTTTGTCTTGTGTTTTAGCCTGGCCGCGATACCGTGTGTTACGGCTGGTCGACGTTGGGCAGTACAACTTGGAGATCTCCTCTGCTGAACTGTCAGATGACTCTCTGTATGAGTGTCAGGCTACAGAGGCTGCTCTTCGCTCACGCAGAGCCAAACTCACTGTCCTTAGTAAGTGTGCTTGTGCATATATGGTCTGCATGGGTTGTAGTGCTGAATAAACACCTCCTTGTTTTTGCCAATCCAAGAAGTCATATGATGTAGTTGATCAATCAAGTCATGTTTGGTGTTTCACGTTTACTTCTTTAGGTTTGTACAGCAGCTATGAGGCTAATGTAGCTAAGATGTAATGGAAATATATCCCCATCAATTACCAGTATGTAAATTACAGCCTAAATCATCACACACTAACCACAAATCAGCTTAAGTTTGAAGTAGTCTCAATTAGACTTGGGTATGTGGTTTCTGACACTGTATGACACACTGTTATCTATTAAATTGGGCACAGGAAAAAACAGGGCTCCCCAGTAGGGATGTGCATGGTTAGCCATTTGAGCCTTTAGGGGTTCTCGAATATCAAAATTAGTATACATCCCTACTCCCCAGTGGTGCCCTTTTGTTGGGCCGGGGGTCTTGAACATAGACTTGTGGTTTTTGTCTGACAACAACCGCAGCGAAAGACTGAAATAGTAAATGTGGATGGTACCCGGTCAGTGATCACTGGAGACACATTAGAGAAATATGGAAATGCCAGGTGTGAACGACTACACGTCTCGCTGTCCACTTATGATCAGATCACTCAAGACGTTAATTCCAAGTGTGAACAGAGCCTTGTCCCTGCAACATTTAGGGTAATGCTAGTCAGTGTGGCCGTCTGTAAACTGACATGACAGAATTGGCAGGTGGTGTTCTTCTCCAGTGGCATTGTGTTCAAGTGACTTAGAGGAGCCTTCACCTTCCCAGCTTGGTAGCATTGTGGGAGAGACCTAGCTAGCATGTGGGAATTGGGCATTACCAAATTTATGAATGAAAAAAAGTACGGCTGTTATAAATTGTTTTAGTTATGCAGCATACTTTTGCCCACTTTTGTAGAATGGTATACAGAAAAAAAACATAATGTTCTCCATTTTTATTGTTTTTAGCCGGCTGCTTTTCACATTGACTCAAAATTTTATGATGAATGGACCCAATACATATGGTTCAGAATGACCTTTTACATTAAGGTATACTTAAAGTGTGTTTTTTCCTTCTCCTGCCAAGTTACTATTTTGTAGATACAAGTTTTTCTTCTGACAGTGACGATAATCAAGTCTATTCATGACTACTTAACAGCTCAGCATGTTGCATCTGTGATAATTTAGGCATGCAGTTTATAAATATACCATAAATACATTCAGGACTGTCTTTGTGGTAAGGGGAAAATTGTGTAAATTCAATTTTTCACCAGAGTATTGTGTTAACACAGATTAGCACAAACGTTTTTTGCTGGTATTTTTAATGTGTCATCTGCACTGTTTCTTCTCTGTACTGAGCAGGCGGTGCAACACGTGTAGAATGTGTGTTCTCTGACTGTTCTCTGTGTATGTTTTGTGTAGTTCCTCCTGATGAGCCGGTGATTGAGGGCTCCCCGGAGCTCCTCCTCACGGCAGGGGTTCCCCACAACCTCAGCTGCGTGTCCCGCGGAGCCAAGCCCCCTGCTGCTATAGAATGGCAAAAAGACGGGCTGCCCATAGAGGGAGCATTCAGCACAACGGTAAGAGACTCACACTGACACAAACACGTACACTCTTTAACCCATTTTTCTTGTCATATGTGTTCTTAATTAGTTCAGACCTGCTAAAACATCTGCTATAAAATATTCAGATCCACCGTTAATGTTATAAAAATGAACATCTCTTTACTAAAAGTGAAAACATTCTTAACCCTTAACGTAACAAAATGGTCTTTTCTGCCATTTTATTTGCTCTCTTCCATTAATAATGCAATTTCTGAAGACTGTTGTTGTGCTTAGTTGATATGTAAAGAATATGATCTTGCATGGCTGATAATTCTGAGATCTTTTTGAGCAAGCAATCACATGAATAGGATTGTGACACATCAGTAACATTTTGCTATTACTCTGATTGAACAAATCAATAATAAGGCCTTATATGGAGTCCACATGCTGACATGGTGCAACTAGCAAGAAAGGAAGCATTGTGCATATTTTACACAGTGATAGTAAACACAGTAGCACACAGAATGCTCCGGTTCTACACACTGAAAAATACGCTAAAATGATTTTACTTTTGCTGTCAGGGATGTGCACCGGGCTCACTGGGTCTTGTGGTTAATTTGCCAGCTACAACTCAGAAGGTTTGCTTTTCAGAATTGCTGTTGGTCCATTCATGATGAAGTACTCATGCAAAGTAAAGGACAGCTGGCATTTTCAAATAGTATAAAAAACAAAACATTTACAAGGTCTTCTTAAGACAGTGATGAAACAGGCTTTGCTTATTCCAAATCACATAAAAAAGTATCTTTCTTACTCTGTTGAAACCTCAGCTCATTCACAGAACACAGATATACTGCTGAATGAGCCACGCGTTCTCTCTGTTCAGGAAGTGCTCCCGGACAGGAAGCGTGTGACCACGAGGAGCTTCCTGCCCGTACTCCCAGTGGACACAGACACAGGGAAAAACTTCACTTGCGTGGCCACCAACCCAGCTGTGCCCATGGGCAAACGCACCACCATCACACTCAACGTTCACCGTGAGTCTGTCCCTTCACAATCACCACACTGCTGTTCAGAGGTCTGGAATCACCGTTAGAACCAATACAGAACCAGTGTCGTTCAGATATATGAAACAATTGTAATATGGCACTACTGCTCTACACTGTCATAGGTTTCAAATAAACAGGAAGCTATGAAAATCAATCGATTTTACATAGATCAAGCATGTGCACAGCCCCTGCCCTTGCACTTTCTTTGCCCTTGAGCTCTTGTCCCCCAAAATGTCCGTGCATGGGCCGGTCTAGTACATAAGTGTTAAACTTGGTTCCTTCTGGGCTGCAAAAGAGTCTGAATTCAGTTAACAAAGACTTTTCTAATTAGCTGATAAGCTGATTCAGGTGTGTTTACTGAGGCAGAATGCTGAACTCTGAAGCTGTGGCCTATATGGAACCCAGTTTCACACCCCTGGTCCAGAATATAACAGTGCTATATAACAGTGAATATAACGGTAACTGACCATTTGCAACATAATGATTGACATGCCTCTAAGCCGATCACAGTCATCTCTAAGCATTACTTCCTCCACCAAGTAGAGGAAAAGCTCCACAGAGCTCCTCAGAGCAAACCTGCAGTGAGAACGGCGATGGCAGTAAGTGTGCCTGCATTATTAGGTGATTAGGTGAAGAGATTTACATAACATTTCCCTACATCCATTGTTCATTTAAACTGGCCTGCATTCATTTCATCAAGTTTCAAACAAATCCTTCAGTGAGCATCCTGGGGAACCAGTTTATTTTTTAATAATATTATTTTTCACATGTTCCTGTTTGTGCTTTGAGGTTTTCCTTCGAGCTTTTCTGTCTGTTAGTACAAGTGCTACGAATGCTACCAGCATCCTTAGCTGAAAGTTTGATGGGCATAGCAACAGTAACAAATGCAGGAGGGACTTGTCAGAATTCTGCAAGCAGTCAATTAAGAAAGCTTTATAACACAGAGAATAAAATTATAATGAAATGAATATCAGAATGCCTCATATCTGAAAAAGATAATCGTGTAACTTCTTGTTCTCATAAAAAACTTATTTTTCTAGTGTTTAGATTATAGTACTTGAATCTACACTGTACAAGCTATTATTGAATAAAATAACAATTATTATATATGAAAAGTGAGTACAAACTTTCAAACAGTGATGTACATTTAGGACTCTCACACTAAGAAGCTCTGTATTGTAATATCGCTGCCAGATGCACCAAGCATGACCACTATCCATCCATCAGTGTGGGTGGTCTCTTACAGTAGTAGAAGTTGTACATGGTTATGCACTTAGAGAGAGCTGCACCCCTCCAGTTCAAATGAAGTTCCTCATACTTCAAATGTTCACTCACAACTTCAGATCTTTTTTTGGCATTGTTGTCATTAAGAATGCAGAAGGTGACACCGTACTGGATTTGTAATGTACATTAATTATTATGATCCCTATCTGAACAGACCCTCCTGTGGTGGTGTTATCCATTGAACCACGCTCTGTGCTGGAAGGAGAGAGAGTGACCTTCACCTGCCAAGCCACTGCCAACCCACCGATTATGGGCTATAAGTGTGTTTTTCTGTACTTTGTTAAGGTTTTTTTTTTACAAGAAATGTTGCTGCTGAAAGAAACTTTGTTTCTTCAAATCAACATTTTTAAAAGTTTTTTAATTTAATGTAGTTCAGACCTATTACACTCTGTGTTTACCGTGTCAAACATATACAGTGTTTTACATGTTAGAGACATAAATAGCGAATGGAGGGCACTACTGAATCCCCTGCATCAGCAGCAGACACTCCTGAGGAATATGTTTCCCACAGCCCTCTGATGCTTTTGTTAATTTGTCTTTAGGATGCATGACAGTATTTAGTAAGAATTGACAGTAGGATTTTATGTCTTCTTCAGGAAACAGCATTTATTTTTATTGAATATAATGAATTTTTGCTTAAAAACTAAAATAAAAAAAAACAGAATCATACCGTCAGAAACCATAATGCACTGTGACCTTAAATAGTATTTTAACAGCATATAAGACACAGATTTTTGTTCTATTAACTTACACTGAAAAAAAGAAAATTGAACTTTACGTTGAGGTAACAAAGGCTGTGCTCTTCAAGTAACGCTTGACTATACATGTACAAGCTATCAGTTACTCTTGCAACTTTTAAAAACAATAAAATAAAACTTGTACATGCTTACACCTGAAATGTCTTGCAAAAAAGGTTAAATTGAGTGTCGTACAACATGTCCACAGACAAATGTTCATTTTAGTGTGGAGAGGGAGCACCAGTATGGCCACCAAGTATCCATAAAAGTAGATGTGCTCGGCTTTATAGATCTCTAAAATGCAAATCTGTGGTTGTTAGAACTCCTAAGAACCAATTACACAGCTAATGCAAGCAGGGCTGAAAGATTAGTTGTGTTTACATCAAAATCACAATTTCAGTGAGTGGAATTTTCAATCACAAAAGCTGCGGTTTTAATTATAGCCTGCATTATCAATATAACAACGTTGTAAGTGGGAACATTACACTCAGTAACACAGAACTGCCTGTAGATGAGTTAAACCAGTGATTCCCAACCTGGTCCTTAGGGCCCTCCAGACAGTCATTTTCACATTTTTCCTTCATTCTTCCTTTCTCTGGGTATATAAATTAGGATGGAGTGAAAATGTGGACCATCTGGGGGGCCCTGAGGATTGGGATGGGATTTTTGGCCAAAGCGACAGGCCTGTGGTTGCTTGCATAATACGTCTTAAGTAATTGTTTTAGGTTAAATGCTTAAGGGATCAATTTAAATCTGTACATTTAAATTTAAATTTTGCAACTATCAAAAACTAAAGTGAACTGAAACTTGTTTTACAGTCATGGATTCTTTTTTCACTTTCAACTTTTTTTTCTCGGCTCACTTAAGTTAAAGAGAGCAGTTAAGGCCAAAATTCACTACACAGCTGTTTTATACAACATTTTTTTTTGCAGTATATAAATGTGGCTATTTCTCTCTGAACATTAAATTCTTGTATGATGTGTAATAAAACTGTATGTACTTCATGCCTCATTATCCTTCTTATAGATTCCAGTGGTTGCCTTTATTAACTCACAAATTTTCTCTCTGTTAGATGGGCTAAGGGCGGTGTGGTCATCCAGGGTGCGAGAGAGAGTGTGTTTATCACTAAGGCTGACCACTCTTTCTTCACGGAGCCAGTCTCCTGCCAAGTGTTCAATGCCGTGGGGAGCACTAACGTCAGCATACTCGTGGATGTTCACTGTAAGGAGCAGCTTACTAAATCTAACCTTGTCTGCACAAACACTCTTAACATATTTGTAGTCATGTTAGACCTGTAAATATTCCACATATTCACCTCTCTGTTTTAACTGCCTTCATTAAATTGAATGGATGGGATACTGTTGAGTAAATGTAATTAGTATAGCTGCACAGCCAGATATAATTTTGAAGTTTACAGCTATTACTGTCGTTCTGCATTACTGTTTAAATGCACATTGATATGCAAAGGTTTGGGCACCCTGAGTTTCTAAGTGAAAATGAACTCAGCACATCCTCTACAGATTTACTCTACAACTGTCTACAATTTATTTGTATAAAAAAAGAACTATATTAGAGAAAAAAAGAACATAAAATGTGGCCTGTGCAAAAGTTATGGCACGTTTACTATTTTATATATATATATATATATTTTACTATTTATTTACATAATTGCATAATTAATGAATTACTGAATTATATAGCGAATAACTTATATAAATGATTAACGCTCTGATTCACAGTGTGTTTTGACAGTTTCGAGTCAAGGTTTTTAAGGATGCATGATATCAGAATGACTGGTATCAGCAGTTATTTGTTTATAAAAAAATAATATCAGACAGATGTTTAAGAGTCGACTGCTGTTTCAAACCAATATTTGGCAATGCTGGGCTGCTGTACTAAATATGGGACTAGTCACAATTTCTATATTTTTGAAAAAGGTAAATGTATCAGCATCGACAGATACGTAGATGAAAAAAATCTACATATATATTACTATATCTGTCCATCACTACTTTTTTTTTTGTGAAGTCAAACTTTTATAAACACGCTAAAAATGTAAAGGGTGGTTTTCCTTTCTGCAAGACAAGACTGTATGCATCAATAACATTTTGTCAATTTAAATAAAATGTAATGAAATATCTCTGCATCTACTTACAAACACAAATCTGCAATATACACTTGCAACAAAATTTCAAAAAGAATTTCTTGTTTCGAAAAGCTATGAGTAAGAAGTAACTAATGTTATGCTTTTGTTATCACTCAAGATAACTGACTTCTAAGGGTTAAACATCTGTTTAGTGTTCAGTTTATGAGAAGTGTTTACCCATTTATGATTCTGTACTGTACATTCTCTTTCTTTTCTTTCTTTCTTCGTAGTTGGTCCTATCCTGGTGGTTGAGCCGAAGCCAGTGACCGTGGACATTGACTCCGACGTCACTTTGAACTGCAAGTGGGCCGGGAATCCCCCTCTCACCCTCACTTGGACTAAAAAGGGCTCCAGCATGGTGAGCAATCCAAAATTCTCTGAAACATTCTTTGGTTTTCCACTCTGTCTTTCTTTCATCTGCCTTTTCTTTTATTCTATCACTTTTGCAAAGACTTTCTCTGAATTTCATTTCTCTTTCATTTCTAATTCTCCCACTACCTGTCTGCCTTGAACGCTCTCTCTGTTGATGACTCTGTGTCTTCCATCCATCTGACATAAATTGTGCCTCCCTGCCGTAGTGCAAAATAGAACGTACGCACTCCCACTCTTTCTCTCTGTGCTGTATGCCCTTGGTTTATTTGTTCAGTTACTTTGTCAAACGCTGCATGGTGTTGAGGTTGGGAAGGTACTACATCATAGTTGCTTTTTCCCTGATGGAATATATTTTACTTACAGTTTACCCCCTCCCTGTGTCTCGCTCTAGGTCCTGAGTAATAATAACCAGCTGTATTTGAAGTCGGTGAGCCAGGCCGATGCTGGCCAATACGTGTGTAAAGCCATAGTGCCCAGGATCGGTGTGGGAGAAACAGAGGTCACTCTCACTGTCAACGGTCAGTGTTACAGCCAAAAATCCTTTAAATGTAGATATTGTTTCCTATAGTCTTATGCAAAAGTTGTAACACCTTTGGTCAAATTACATGTTTTGTTGATTTTGTAAGTGAAAATAAGTAAACACATCCTTTACAGAGAACACACATAAGTAAGGCATTTTTTAGTGCACAATTTCTTTTTATTTTTAATATGATCAGATAATGATTAGATAAGTAAATAAGATTAACATATTGAAATAAAAAACATAAAATATAAAATGTGCCATAACTTTTGCACAGAGCACATTTTCTGTTTTGTTTTTTGTTTAATATGTTAAAGCTAATATGTTTAGCAAATAAACAGTAATTGTGCATTAAAATGTGCTGATTTTCTCTGAAAAAAAATTGCACTTATTTTTGCTTAGAAAATCAAAACAGTCTAATTATGAATATTATTCCATTTGCGGTTATTAATTGGTGTAGCTTGTGACTGTGCTATGCAGTTATGCAGGTAACCCTTTGCTTTATTTTTTCCCATTTATTTACTTGTTTATTTATTATTATTCATATTCTTATTCTTGTTTTAATTATAATTATTATTTCAGTCATTTTAATTAACTTTAGTTTCCTTTTTTGATCTTATCTTCCTTTCGTTTTATTTATCCTCTTGATTTTATTAACTTTTACATTTTAGTTACACTTTAATATTGTTTTATATTTTCTACTGTTTTTTATTACTAATATTTGATATGTTCTTACACACTATGAATCCCTTTTTCCTGTATCAACTCGGCAACATTGTAAATGAGGGTCACCCTCAATGTTCTCTGAAGTTAAATAAAGGTTGATTGATTGATTATAACTGAAGACAGTAGAGAGGGGCATTGCTGTTAAAATGTAAATATCTTAACTCATTTTAGTTTTTGTTTATTTAGTTTGGAATTAAAACAAATTGTACATTATCTTAAGTTTTGTAACATTTTTATTATCTTTACAAGTTATTGTATCAAAGAACCACTGAGAGTATGGAGACACAAGCAGTTGATACGGCATTTCAGCATCTAAGCTTTAAATGAAAATGTTCCAAACAAAAAACGACACATTTGTACAGTGTAAGTTATTTGAGTTATCATTGTGTACGTCAACAGGTGGTGTGCTAAATTACACACACCTAAAATACCAAATAAATCACTAAATCTACTGAGCAGGTACAGATCTCAGATCTCGTATTAATTTAGCCGCATGCTGTAAATATGTTAAAGCTTCAAAGTCTTCATTCTTTTTATTCATAACAGCAATAAATATTTTCTCATTTGGCTTTTTGAATATTACTTGTTTAAAAATGCAGATATTTAAAATAGCAAAAATGGTTTAAAACTGTAATATGGTACAGTATAAAATAATAACAGTAATGCAGTAATATGACAGTAAAATGTTATCATTAATTATACTACTTAGCATTATTCATGCATACAAGTGAAGTACTGTAATGTCTGACCCTTCAGCTGTGTATTTACGGAGGTTACATACTGTGTTTGTGCAGGTCCCCCCATCATCTCCAGTGAGCCAGTGCAGTATGCAGTCAGAGGAGAGAGAGGGGAGGTGAAATGTTACATCGCCAGCACTCCTCCACCAGACAAGATCGTAAGTCTGCGCATGAATGACAGGGAGAGACTTCATTTTGATGGTCTACTGTAGATGCTTTGTAGATGAAGATTTTCACCTAATCTATAAAAAATAATTCCACAGATTTTTCAAAATTTCTTCTTAACCTTCACTTAAGATGCAAACAGTCATTCAGAGTGGTTTGATGTGAAATGGTGCATTGTAGAGAGACTTGCCAACTCAGACACCAACTCAGATTTCTTCACCGTGAATGTGTTTTAAGAGATATGTATTAGACTAAAATCTTCTCTTAAAACTTTTGTACAACAGTGCGTTTTCACATTAGTCCCAAATATTTGAGTCTGCATGTGGGACAGATTCTGGGCTCATTTGTGGGTGGGTCTTATTATTGCTGGTTTACTTTCCCACATGACAATTGCATCAGAACTGTGGATTGATTGTGCAATTCCATACGTCACACGCACAGCAAAACACACCAGATTTGCTGTAGGTCACCTGACCACTGATTTTTGAAGGACCAGAGATGGGTTCTCTGGACCTCTCCTGGGCTCGAAAACAGCTTTCACGCTTGACCAAACGTACCAAACTCACAGAGCAAGCGGTCCTGGGTCCAGAAACTCTACTGTTAAAATGCCCTCTGGTATCAGGCAGCATATTCATAACCATTTCAAACAATAACTTTCTCTGAGGGAGCTTTTACAGGCAACTAAAACTCAGACGTCTGGTTCCTATCACCACCACTGTGAACAATTCTGACTTCTGATTTTTATTATGATGTACAAACGTTTAATAAGGAAATCACTTGGCATTTCTTTCTAGACTTTAATTGACTTAAACTCTGCCTGTAGCCTCGTTTGGGTGTTTTGTTGAAGATTACAAAAATAAAATTTTGTTAAAAATCAAAGATTGGATTACAATTCACTTTTGTCCATTTACTTGTATAAAACAGGACTGTCATTTAACCCATTAAAATCCCAGGCTTAGTACATACTAAGGCTCCTTATTCAGTAACTACAGGGAGTGGTTGAGCTATTCTTAGGTTAAAGAAGTGTGTAATAAAGCTTTGGGTCTGCTGTTGGGCTGTGGCCATTTAAAGGGTTAATGACATATTAAAACCTTATAGAAAATTTTTTGAAGTACAGATAACCATGAAATAAGTGCACTGAAATTTAATATGCACATTTCTGTATGGTGAGTTTGCATGAGGAGAGAGCTGAGAAGGCTGCTTCCAGTTTTAGAAGCAAAAAGTTCCAGAAGTCCACCTGAATCACATTAAAAATGTGTGAAATGAGTGAAACCTGCCTTCAGCCAGCAAACGAAACCTGCTCTCTCCACGGCTGAAGTTAACTGAAATGCCCTAGCTCAGCGCTATCTACATTTAGCCCTCCCTTCAGTCCGCGAATGACCGTAATGTGGAATGACTAGCAGCAGAGGCCCTAATGCAGCCTCAGAAGGTGATTTATGAAATATGAAATATGGCCCCCGTGTACTCCCCGTTAGCGCAGTAAATGGAGGCTTATCGTGAACATGCGGAGTTATGCATTTTTAAATATGCTCATAGTTCAGTATGAATAATACAGCGGTTTTTGGTGGAGTTTTAAAAGGGGAAAGTGTGATGCTTTCTCACCATTTTCACCCCCTTGTTGCAAAATAGAAAGGGCATTTATCTAGTTACTGGTGTGAAGTAAGTGTGTGTTTGGCAGGGGTGGGAGGTTAGGGGAGGCAGGTACCAGCTGAGAGGCAGAGCTTTATGTATCACTATGTAAGCACTAGAATGAGCTTTACGGCATATTATTAATACAGTAATATTAATTTTAGGAGAAATTTGTTTTTGTTTTTAAAACACTTATTAAGTTGTTATCAGTCTTGTGACAAAATGAAGTTCAGAGTATAATAAGTAAGCAAAATAAACATGTTCAGTGCAGCGATCTTGATGCATCACAAATAATTTATAGGGTTCAGATTGAAACTTGATGTCAGGACTGTCACAACAGATCAGTATGTTCTTCAGATAACGGTGGCAGTGTGGTTGGGTTGTAAACATATCACAGTGCATCGAACTGAAGATGGTGATACAGCTGCATTGATTTTGAAATGCAAAAGAAGGTCGCCCAAAGTACAAAATGCAGGGCTGCCAATCATTGTGACATGGTTTTGTTAATTTTTCGTGGGAGTTTTTGTTTTCTTCGACTAAATTGACTTCAGTTAAATGTTCTTGTCTCATATTTTCAGTGTTACATCCTTTTTTATCTGTCTTTACCAAGGGTGCCAGTAATAATGGAGCTGACCACATAAAAGGCTTGTTTAATATCTATATGTCTAAATACTATAATGTGAATATTTGTATATTAAATAATCTAATGGAATTGTGGTGCAATTTGAGATTTCTGGATCCCTTCTTAAAGAATCATAATCAGACTGGGGTGTTGTGAGGATTTACATTCCTGCAGTACAGTGTTTTATTATTGATCCATTCTGCTAAATCTGTATGTGTGTGTGTGTGTGTGTGTGTGTTAGGTATGGGCGTGGAAGGAGAACGTGTGGGAGAAGGAGAAAGGAACTCTACCAGAGCGCTACACAGTGGAGCAGAGTAAGCCTTCATCTGATGGAGGAGCGGTGCTGTCCACACTGACCATCAACAATGTCATGGAGTCTGACTTTCAGTCCACTTACAACTGTACGGCATGGAATGCTTTTGGCCCAGGAACCATGATCATCACTCTGGAGGAGACTGGTAAGAATAAGTGCACAGAAACACAAACACAGACGCTTATTTGTTTTGGTCAGACAAATATGGGGTGTGTGTATAAATATATTCCCAAAAAGCACTGTGCAGAAGTCAGAGACCACCCCTTGTTTATTTAATTTTTATTCAAATCAGCCTTAAATACAACTTATTCATTTTTCAGTGTCAGACAGAAAATATATGTTTAGCCTCAACAGCTAAAAATATTTGTAATGTTTCAGTATTTCGTGTGTCCACACTTTGCCTTTATTACAGCTTCTGTTCTTCTCAGGAGACTTGCTTAAAGGTTTTCAAAGAAATCTGCAGGGAGATTTTTTCACATCTTAGAACTGGTTGCATTTTCTGCTTTTCACAATCAAAGTATTTCGAATTACAAATTTAGACCTCAGTCCATAAAACCCCACTCCACATCTTTTTGTTTGTCTAGGTCTTTTCTCAGTAAGAGCTTCTTGACAGCTACACATCCTTTCAGACTCATAGTGCTGAGTTGTCTTCTCACAGTGGAAGGATGGACAGAAACACCTGTGGATTTTTTCAGATCTAAAGCAAGATTGGAGCTTGATTTTCTCCTTTCTTTCAAAGAAATCCTGAAATTGTTCTTCAGATTGATGAAGAAGATGTTTTTTTAACCTTTTTGAAAAAGGTTCTATACAGCACCAAAAGGGCTTCTTCTATTGTTACAAGCTTGACATTGTAACAATAGGCAAACCCTTCTTGTGCTGTGTAGAACCCTTTTCAGAAAGGTCTATAGATCCATATACAGGGCCAATCAATCGAAGAATCATTTCACCATGGTGAAATGGTTCTAAATAGAACAGATCCCTTGAAGAACCATCTTGAGTGTACTAATATGTAGTAATGATATGTTCTTTCACTGTTATATTACTGTTGTCAGAAGAAAACCTCATATCTCCAAAATGGTAACTTTACAGGAGAAGGAAAAAACCTACTTTACTTTTAATGTAAATCAATGGAACCAGACTTTTTTCCAAGTAATTTTGGGTCATTTCTTTTGGTCCATTTCTTCCGACAGCAGCGATATGTAAGCATCTATATGTAATAGGGGTGCTGGGAAAAAAATCGATTCTTAGATGCATCGCGATGCAGACGTGGACGATTTTGAATCGATTCATTCAACGTCAAAAATCGATTTTCTAAATATTCAATTTATACCGTAATGTTGACGGAACACAAAAGGCGGAACTTGGAAGTTCGGAAGTGCAGCGCCCGGACAGTCTGTGACGGCACATAACACAAACACAACTGGATGAGCGAGAAATCCGACCGGCTCCCTCTGCATTAAAGCCAGATTAGATCAGGAGTCACAACCCAAATGATAAGAAGAGACATTTTGTCCCTTCAACAAAATTCAAACCACCTTGGGAGCCACAACATTTAATGTCCAGTATGTCTCAGTATGTGATAATGTCCTAGTATAGACTAAACAATATAAACAAAAACGCAGACTTACTCTGCTCTGCTTTAAGCTTTAGCTATAGCTGCTTGTCTTCCATCTCTGCCAGAAAACATTTCCTCAGAAGTAAATCAGTTTCTTGTAAAATGTCTTTCAGCTTTCAGCTGTTTTACGAGGCTGAAGTTGCTTCTCATTCGCCAGCTTCTTGCTGAACTTTCCCGTTCCACCTTAAATTCTGACTGAGGCGCCAAAGCTAAATGCGGCACCCTTTAAGGTGGAACGGGAAAATTAGAAAGAGAAGCGACTTCATCTTCGCAACTTCTTAGTGTTTCACAGTCTCTTGTTGCAGATTTAACGTATCAGGAAACCAACTGCGCTGCTTATAAATGCGAATAAGTCCATTCATCTCCAAACGTTCGTCTGTCTTTCTCTTTTCCTTTTTCGTTTGCTACTAGCCAGGCAAAACCTCGTAGCTAGGTGACCTGCATGCCAATTCTCAGTCGTTGAGAAATCAGGGCTTTCGCGCTATGTTGCACACGTCCCGTCTTGAAGATATTTTACTGACACAGCGACCCTCCCCCCACAAGACCAAAACCGAAGTTATAAAATCACTAAAGAAAACGGGTAGAATAGCTGTAACATGTGCTGCGTGGTCATCCATTACCACTGAATCTTATTTCACCGTAACTGCGCATTTTATCACAGATGAGTAGCAGGAGCTTCTCCAAACAAGAGCAGTGAATGAGAGCCTTCTAGTTCACTTGCCACATCACTTCCATTTGATTTATTAATAAAAGATATTGGACATAAATGCATTATGGATCATTACAAATACTTAGCTTTCGCAGCCCTCTGAATCGTAATCGAATCGAATCGTGAGGTGCCTAGAGATTCCCACCCCTAATATGTAATAAGAATTTTCTTAATATAACCCTAAACCTGACCCTCATGTTAACCTCAGTAACCAGTATGAAATGGCTTTGCCCTCATTTGACTTTTTGTACAACAACTGAACAATTTGTTAATCCTGACATTGTGGGACATAAAGACATGGCATATTGACATGGTTTCCAAGGCCTTTGCTAAAAGTGCGCTGAGCCATATGGTCCAGATGAAGAGTTTTGATCAGTGGTGACTGTTCTCAGTGACTGTTCTCAGTAAATGTTCTCAGTGACTGTTCTCAGTAAATGTTCTCAGTGACTGTTCTCAGTAAATGTTCTCGGTGAATGTTTTTCAGTCAGAGGCAAAACGGTAAAATTACAGAAAGGACATATTAATATCACTTTTAGGAGACTTGTTTACTTGTTTGTTTATAATCAGTTCCTATAAATTAGCAGTATGTTTCAGAGCATACAGCTGCTGGACATTTTGCTGATGTTTTGACCTGATCCTTTCTCATACACAGAAATAGTCCCAGTTGGTATCATTGCTGGTGGCACTGTAGGCTGTTCCATTCTGCTATTGCTCTGCCTGTTGGCATTAGTGCTTTTCCTGTATCGTCAACGGAAAGGAAGTAAGTACCCACACGTACACGCTGAAATATTTACTACAGCTTTTACTGGCTTAATAAAATTAATATTCACTCTGCTGTCAGTTAAAGCATGTACTAAAGGGAAGAATTTTAGTGTAAACAGTGGCATAAATTCCACATCAGCCAGCACATTTTACATGTTATGACAACTTGGCACATAACCAAAGTGATGTGAACCCTCATCACAAATCATAATATTGATTTTGCACAAAAAGCTTATGAGCAGTGTTAAAAAATGATAGGAATAATAAATGCGTTTGTGTTTCTTCATTGTTACCAGGTCGTCGTGGGGTCACACTCGGTAAGCCAGACATCAAGGTGGAGACAATAAATAAAGAGACCCACAGCCTAGAGGAAGACACTGGCAGCGTCTCCACGGCAACCCGCATGGTCAAGGCCATGTACTCTGTGAGTATAACACAGTGTAGAGCCACAGTGGAAAGACGGTTTGAGAGGGATAGGAATTTAGTTACAACTCCAAAAACTCATCGTGTTAGGTAAAAGAATTAGTAGCAATATTCTAACTAGATACTGTAACAGGGTGGAAACGGTTTGGGTTTCTTAGTAATCTGTCAGCTGTGGTTTATAACATTAAAGTTGAAGTAGTAGAGTAGTACACTGGTCATTTTGCACCTATGCAACATTTCATGTTAGATAACGTAACAAGCAAAACTATGGCTGGCTGGAATAATGCTTGCCCAAGTGATCTAATCGCTCAAGCATTAGTTTTGGTTGGTATTTTCTTCTCTATTTAGAAGCTTTGTCTGTTTTTAAACTACATAAATTGTTGCCTAAAATACAATGAAATTCCATAAAATAAAATTCCATTAGCAAATACCTTTAGAAGAACTGTTATTGTTAATATGTGGAAAATGGTAGAAGAAAAATTATACTTGGTTTTATCCATGCGAACCACTGGTACATCCTAGTATTTACATAACCTTTTACCTTTTAATACAGTTTTAAAATATAATTACAATATTGTATTAACGAAAATACATAAAATACATAAAAATGTTTTAATGTCAGAAATATTCTTTAAATATACTAGCAGTAAAGGTATGCAATATTTACAATAAAATAATGATTAAAAATAAAAAGCTATCCACATGATGCTCATTGTGTGTCACTGTCATACAGGACTTTGCACTTAGCACTGGAGTTGAGGATCCTGCTATAGCGCACTTAGACTTTTTCTGCTCCAGTTTTACAGTGAATCATGAAGTAAATATTTCCACTTTAAACATAACTCACAATATTATGCCGAACTGCTTGTTAAAAAAACAAGCTTTTATGTAAATTTAAGTTCAGTATGCTTCATGACTTTTACTTCATACACACAACATTTGTGACTGTAAACATGCAGAGACTGATCATTTTTTCCCTTCTCTAATCTGAGTGGGATGTAAGTTTTCACCTTTTTTAGGGATAAAAAGTCTCTGTCTGCTCCTCTTTCTGCTGTGCTTTGGCTGCTATGATTGTTTACAGCTCCGCTCAGAGGAAGGACTGTATCAAGTGTTCAGACCCACACAGTGTAGTGGGAGTTGTGAAAGCTGAGCTGATCTGTGTCTCTGGAGAAACTGCAGCTTGTCCACAATAATATTACCATGTGTTTTTAATATCAGGGTATACCAAATTACTGAATACCTGCACATGTCTACCTCGGAGTTCACCGCTTTCCACATGACCATTAACCCCCTCAAATTCTCAGGCTTCTTACATACTAAGGCTTACTATTCAGTAACTACAGGGACTACAAGGCAAACTGACTGAGCTATTCTTAGGTTATAGAAGTGTGTATTAAAACTATGGGCTCTGACCATTTAAGGAGTTAAAGCTAAAAGAGTAAAGATGCCTCAGAAAGAAATCACATGTGGGAGGACTAAAATTATCACACAGCTTTAACAGGAAATACTTCTAAAAAGGAAATTTTGTGCAGACATTGAAAAAGAAAGTAAAACAAATCCCATAGGAGTAACAAACACACAAATTAGGGTTAATTACAGAAGTAAACATTATCGAGTGATTTTGAGTGTTCAGATATTCATTCGGAAACACCAGCGAGTACTGTAAAATGCTTTTCGGGGCAGACCTAAATAATATCCCATATTCTTGCTCTAATAGGTCTTTAGATAATGTGCAGATCTCCACTATGATTTTTTATAATGTTGCATAAGCTAGAGAAGCTAGAGGAGTCCACATAGAGAATCTAGAGGACAGAGGGCAACCTTGTGTGGATACTAGAAGACATTTACAGAACAAAAAGGAATACAACTGTCAGAGTCCCTTGTGCAGCCTGTGTAATTTGTGTATGGGTCAGCTATGCTAATAATAGGCTAAGATGCTGGCATGCAGTCTCCAATGCAGCATTTGTTTTTCAGATTTAAATTGTTCCTCGGTTGATTTCAGGAGCACATTTTTGTTGCAGTGCTGTTACTGGAGAAAGAAAAGATTTATTAGGCCCTAGTTTAAGCCACTTTAGGGTTCTTTGGTTTTTCCTTGACCTTTATGGGGTGACGTAGAATCCTTTCATAGCAGTTCTGCAAAAAACATCTCAGAACTGTAGTCCAGTGGGAACCTGAGTGTCGCACCATATTTCATCACACGAGTGCAGTGGCAGAGTACCTCAGAAAGCCAAGGATATTTCAACCCGCGGGAATTATTATTAATTCTTACATCTTTAATGTACCATGAAGGGATTAGAGTTGTTGACTTTCTAGTTATGGAGATCTTAGCTCTTACCACAGCTTCAAAAACAAGCAAAAAAAGCTTTGCATATTAAAAATAACTGTATGCAGACGCCCTCCGGACACAATCCTTAAAGAGTGCTACAATCCTATGCTTGTAATTCATAAGTTCAAATGTACACTAAATGTGTCTTGCTAGAATGTTGTTTGTAACAATGATTACAATGATTTTTTAACACTAACTACAGATGCCATAAACCCTCTGTTTCTAATGCTGCTCATGAACTTCAGCCATTGAACACAGCTTTTCTTAACCATTTAACAGAACATCCTCAACCCCTCCTGATCACTAAGCTGCAGTCAAAATGTAGTTTTACTCCCTGTATTTCATTTACAATACTCCATGTGAAGCTGAATTTAATCCTCTCTTCTTTCTCAACCTCCCTCTCCTCCTTTTTTTATCTTCGTCCTTCTCTTTCTCTTAACCTATTGGTTTTCCTCCCCTTTGCGTTGCTTCTCTCCCCCCCCTTGGTTGGTTTCTTGTCGTTTATGGTTTAGTTTTTGCCCTCTGTGACCCTCTCTCCCTCCTCCCAGCCCTTTAAAGATGACGATCTCAAGCAGGAGCTGCGCAGTGACACTCTGGACACACGCCAGGACTATGAGCTCAAGGTGAGTGACATCATTCATATATACACCCACACACATACACATGTACACACACAGGCAAAGAGTCAGTGCTGTTTGTCCGATGGCACTGCATCTGTGAGAACATACATATTACATAGGTCATTTTTGGGACATATTCAATTTATAATACATAGTAATGATTCTGCATTTACATAATTAATTACATACGCTACTACATATAATACTGCTCACAAGTTTGGAATTGCTGTTCCAAAGTTTGGAATCAGTGTTTTCAATAACATAGAAACAATCTGAATGCTGATAAGTGTATAAAATTATTTTTAAATATCAGTCCAGTACAACTTCACATATTTTAGATAATAAGCAGGACACTGTAGGAAGCTGTAAATAAAAATGAAGAAACATTAAATGCGTCCAGAATAATGAAGAGAGATGGAGAAGATTCTAAAATGAGTAAGAAAGCTTTGTAGCATTGAGAATTCAAGTTTAATAAAACTCAATACATTGTGTTTCAAATCTAAAGGCAGATATTATTTTTATTCACTTCTTCACAGAATTCTTGAAATATTAAATAAAACATCTAAAACTCCCTTATGGTGAATAGTCTGTAATATTCGCATCCACATTGTATGAACTGTTAATACAGTCAGTGATTTCTCTTCAGTAGTTACATTAGTGAATTACATTTGTTTGATGTACATTCAGTATTAACAGGTTAGAGTTGAGTATATATTAAGTATTTATTATTTGTTTGCTGACAAAAAAATCACAAAAATGTGCATTTCTTTACACAAGTAGACAAGCCAATAGTTTTTTTTTTTTATTAAATTCAAATCATAATAAAATATCCACCCAAGCACAAATGTGGTATTGATTGAAACAACAGGATTTCTCTGCTTCATTGAGCTGCAGTTGCTGTTATTTTTTTGCACATGTATGTTTTTTCTCGCTTTGTACAGGACCCAACAAACGGCTATTACAATGTGCGAGCCTCCACCCACGATGAAGGCCGCCCTGCCTCGCGTTCCATGCACTATTCTGAGTATCGTTCCTCCAACCAGCCAGGCGGCGCTGCAGCGGTCAGTGCTAGCTCGGGCGCTCCCGGAGCCACGGCAGGTCCCGGAACTCCCAGCAGTTTGGCGCCCGGGTCACGAGCCGGCTGCTACGACCCTCGACCTCCGTCCAGACTCTCGCACAACAGCTACGCCCAGTTCAACACCTTCAGCCGGCCTGGCCAGTCACAGCAGCCTCCGCCCAGCTCCGGCCCGCAGACGGGCGATTTCCCGCCTGACTGCAGCCTGCTGGACTCCACCCCTCAGCTGGCATACGACAACTACAGCTACCACTCACACTACTCTACATATCGCATGGGCTTTGCTCCCCCCAGCCTGGCTCCTTTAGAAGGTGGTCCGGCGTACGAAATGTACAGTGTGGGGCCGAGTGTAGGAGCCGGAGGCACTACTGGAACGCCAGAGACTGGACTGGGAAAGTACGGCAGTTCCACTCGTTTTTCCTACACCTCCCAGCATTCCGATTACTCCCACCGACACACACAGAGGATGCAGACACACGTGTGAGCAACAAGCGCCAGTGTACTCATCACTTCTGTCTACATACATTTAGCAACATGCACATACACTTAAATAGGAGGAGGTTCTGATAGAAGGGAAGAAAGATGGACAAAAAGAACCAGTTCAGAAAGAACAGAGGCCAAGAGATGAGAGAGTAGGTGGAGATGACAAGAGGGGGAATTCTCTTTCTGTCTTTTCTTTGCTTGTTTCTCAGCTCAAGAAGCTGACAGCGAAAGTCACAATCAGGATGAAAACAGCGTAGCACCAGTGAAAGATCTAAAAATCTTCATGATGCTGAGAATAGCTCAGTCTGTGAATTAGCAGGGCCGCAGAATGGATCTTGAGCAATGAAGGAAGCCTCTGTGTTTGTCAGTGAGACAAAATACTTAGCTGGGGTGGTCATGGAAGACTTTTTGTATGGCTTTTTGGTGAATGGCTTCTTCAACTTGTCTCCGCACCTTTACCGCGCTAACCTGAAAGAAGAAATGGTCGGAAAGCAATATGGCAGAGGTTGCACCTGGTGCAGTGGTAATTCCTAAAGCATTCTAGTGGGCGTTGATATGTTTCCTTCATAAAGGGGGGTTCCACTGATTTGTCTGCGTAATTCTGTCATTTAGTTGTACACAAAGTCATTCCGAGTGGTTTGATATGAAATGGTACATAGTAGAGAAACTTAGCAGCTCAGGTTTCTTTACAGTGGTGGTGATGGGAACCAGAGCGTAGAGTCTATTTTAGAGCCATTTTATTTACCATCCAAAACAACCTAGCTTTCTGTAATGTAGGCATTCAGACGTCTGGTTCCTATCATGAAGGTTGTGAAAAATCCTCTGTAAGGTTTTAGGAACAGTACGTTTCACAGCAAACCACACTGAATGACTTTGTTTACATGTTAATAATTGAATTCTGGAGATTTTCTTGGAAAAAATGGTGGAATTCCTCTTTAAATTCTTCACATCCAGCACTGAGCAAAGGCTGCCAAATTAGCAAACAAAGAGCACAACTCTATCACAATAGACTTGGTTACCAAAGCATGTTATTATTTGGAAACCTGGTGATGAATTTTTCATACTCTTAACTGCTTTACCTGTTAAATAATATCTAACCAGCTGTCCAGCTTGCTAAGCTACCTCATTCAGTAGGCTATTAGCCTTATCGTTCAGCGGCTAATGTAGACACAATCAATATGCGGTACAGTTACCTTGTATTATTGTATAGCTCAGTTGTCTCTGGCAGGATGGTGTATAATTCCTATTAATCAAGTTACAGTCTGGATGGACTAATTAGAGCACTTTTTTCCATTTCTAACAAAAAATAGCAACTTAGCATCCAGCGGTTAAGGAGACCAGTTCAGGAAGCCATCAGACATGGCCACTGACAGCCATTTTTCTCTCTTTTTTTATTGCTATGGAGCATACCATTGGGTCAGAACCTCAGTTGGTGGAGTATACACTATAACGGGATGGGGGGACATCATAGTAGACCATATATATTTTTTCATAGTGTTTTTACATGGTGATTGGTTAATCTTAGAGCACATACAGTATATTTGCATATATATATATGTCTGAATTCCCCACTCTTTTTCCATGGTGCTTTTGTAGTGGGGTCATTGTTTGCACTGCATTCCAGTATTCTGTCATAGATTACTCTTATAATCTACCTGTAATCTCTCATTTGCACACGTAGGCTAGAGTGTTTTGAATATTCCCAAAATACAGAATTATTTTTCCTCATATTTCTGTAAGGAATTGTGGACCAAAGGTTCATCGTTAGAGTATCAGTCTTTATTTGGGTGATATTCACCTCAACAAACAAGGAAATATGCAGATTTGTTTGTTTTTGTTGACTCTGGACTCAATAATGATGAGAATGGCGAAAAGGTCTCTTGAAGGGTAGAGGATTGCAAAGGTCTTAAACCTTATGATCCAGCCTTAGGTACACATACTGATCTGAGATCAGGCTGCTATGCCATCACGTTAGTACACACGAGATCATAAAGAACAAAGGCGAACTGAGATTCAGTCAGTTGCTGGTTCCTGGGCTCATGGCCCAGAGAACGGAATGTTCATATTCACACATATATATATATATATGTGTATATATATATATATATATATATATATATATATATATATATATATATATATATATATATCATGATATGAAGTTTATCAATATCTAATAGATTGGAGACTCTTCTGCACACGTTTTCACAAAGACACACCTGCTATATGTGCCAACACAGACATCTACGTTGGTGGAAGCATTTGTGACCAATAAGAAAATAAACAGAAAATTGGATACGAAATGCTTCTGACAGACGTTGAAGGAAACGATTATGATGATGATGATGGTGGTGGTGAAGATGAAGACAATCCATCTCAAATGGTTCTCCATCAAGGAGCAATGAGGTACTGTCTACCGCTAGTTTTTCGTCTTTGTCTGAGTTTCAATACCTTTGAAGTGAAGGAGTCTTGTAAATACTTTCCCATGTGTAACTCCTATTTCAAGTATTATTTTACATCATCCAATGTGATGCACTCTTTAAATGCAGTATTGTTACATTTCAATGGCGCGAGGGAAAAAATTGGCAGAAGGACTGTGTGTTGGCAACTGAATTTTATGACCCGAGGATAATGAACTGCGTTCAACTTGGCTGAAGTCCAGCCTGGTGCCAAAGAGCATTGAGAAGAACAAGATGCTCATCATTATCAGAAAACACCTTTATACCTGCCTGAGCTGCCAATCAGTTGGTCTTAATGGTACATTCGGTTACTTTGAGTGATTGACAGAAGGAGACACGTCCAGGAGACGTGACCTTACCTACTGGACGGGACATGCACTTCCGCCCAACACCCTCCTTGAAGGACAGAAGCTCCATCAAGAGGAAAAGAGGGAAATATGAAGGTGTATGTTGGTTAAAAAACAGAGTGGCCTTAGGAAAAACATGACTTTTATAATCCCTCACTTTATAAGCCAGTTTGAGGCCAGAGGTGTACAATGACAGTTTCAATGATGGTATGAGAAGTGTGTATGCGTGTGTGTGCGCGAGTGCGTGCGTGTCTCTCTTTGTGTATGAATATCTTTATGTAATCATTTACTTCCCTCAAGTTCCTGCTCCAATACTTTTATTCTCCTGGTAGGACTGTATCCTGTATAATTGTGTCTTAGAAAACAAGCGTTGACCTTACTGTACTGTTCTTCGTAGCTGAAAACGTTCCACAGATGTACAACAGAAGTTATTGAAAAATTTTCATTTTTTTATTTCATTTTCATTTTTTTCAATATTTTTAAAAAAATGTTATGTAATTATTTTTTCACAGTATATCAGAAATAAAAGCACTGTTTTTATAAGAATGGATGCTGTGGGAGTAATTTTAAATGCCAGTTTTGGCTTCATCTTCATAACTGTTATTGGGTCATAAAATATTGTGTGCACCAGTATAGACTTCTTTCCTGGCTGTGGTTTGTCAGATCTAGCCATTTTCAGTTCCTGTTTTCTAAGGCTTTTTGCTTTCAGTCTTGCTTAACGCATGTTCATTGGGGTTTGGGTTGGGTGACTGACTTGAACAGGCAAGCAGTTTATACTTTTTGCCACTGAAGAACTCCATAGTTGCCCTCCTGCTACTAGGTGGAGCCCGCCCACTACGTTTTGAGGCATTTGGTTGCATTTAAGCAGTTCTAATGCCTCTGTTCATCTCAAGTGAGTCATTTCCTCCAGCAGCCATACATGCTCACGCCACCATGTCTCACATATAGATATGCTCTGTTTACCAGTTTGTTTATCCACGGTGCATCTTTAATGAATCTGAAAAAAGCTAATGAATTCATATAAAGGTAGAGAGTTTACGATCATTGTTTACTTTGGTGGACTTAATTGTAACACCATGTTAAGTCTAACACTACCATGTGGAGACTAAACTTAAGCCTGGGTAGCTCTTGCTGTGAGTTGCTTATACGAGTTGTTGTCTACGGCCACCAAGAGGACGACTGAATTAATATAGGTGTGAAATCTGTAACTTATATGCACAATTCAGTAATCACTTACATTTATGATGAAAAAAAGTTACTTTTATGGTATAAAAGCAGTTTTCAGGGTGAATCTGGAGATAGATCTGTCCGATAGCTGTCAGAATTCATATAACATGTTGCTCTTTGAATACTAGACGATGACCAGAAGCATGTTATATTTAAACCTGTTTAAGCATATTTAAAAAATCTGTTAGTTTACCCCACATTAGGTTGTCCCCCACTCTCCCCTATGTTTTAGCAGACTGTAACTTGGCATTTCTGCCCTGGAAGGTTACTCTGTGGTTTACATCTTGTGGTGAGTCCTCTGAGCTCATGCTATTGTAATCTCTTTATGGTAGCCTATGATACATCCATTCCTGTAGCCTGAGGAATTTTCTTAATCTGTTCCATCTGTTTTCATAACTAAACACATTCTTCATCATTCAGTGCTGTGGTCTTTCACGTCATTTAAGTGGTTGCTGTGCTCTCCACTGGATTCTTTCTTCTTAACAAAGGACCTAATAATTCTGACATACCTAATATTTCGGTTGTGCCTCTAATTACTTTATTTTTCCATCATTATAGCCTGGGGTTGACTTTTATTTGTTCATCTTGTAGATGGACAACAGCAGATACTCCAGATCCAAACATCACATCTAGAATTGACTCTAGCCCTTCTGTTACCTCTCTTGTGTATGAACTACTGGCGCAGAGACACACAGCTGGCCATGAAATGACTGAGCAGCCAATTGTATAAAAAGGAGCTGTGATGCCTATATGGTTCACCCAGTACAGATATAAATAGCTTCAGGCTAAAGCTGACTCTCTGCATTTTCACCTCATAGTCAGTAATCACAATCGGTTTAATTTACATCCAGTATGCCAAAACAACAAAAACTCAGCATTCAGTCACTTATGGGCTGCACTATTGAATTTGGTTCCAGTGAAAGATACACTGTATTTTACAATGACCCCAATCATAATGTAATACTATATGCGACTGTCAGTATGTTCAAACAGTCAAGACTATCAAACACATTGCAAGATAAATGATAAACTTCCAATTTCTAGGATTTGAAGTCATAAGTGATAAGTATCTTGGTGGGGGTAAAAATGGGACTGATTTTGATTTAAACTAAAAAGGAGACGCATGCAAATTATGTCAAAAATAGGCAATATATATGGGAAGAATTTACTCAATGACAAATTACAATCAATTATATCAAATACTGGATATGTATTCAGTCACTTTGAATAATCTGAAACGAAAGGAGTTCATTAATAAAATAATAAAATAAGAAAAATTGAAGAATAAATAGTGATTGGTATGAATGGAAAATATTCTCACTTCAGGAATCAGTTAATGAATACATATGTCTTGTTAGATGGGAAATATTACCAGGACCTGACTTGTAACTCACTCACTCACAGTTAGCAGGTTGTAGATTCTTCACAAGGGGGTGCTATTGGCACTCAAATAGCTTTTGGTGCTTTGCATCAATGACACTTTGTCTTTGTTTTATTGAGCTGAGGAATATTGAGTTATTTCAAGAATGTACAGGCAGGGTTTTAGCTAATCATGCCAAGAAAATGTAAATAATAAAGTAATTTTCCTTAGAAATCTACACCACTTCAATAGCACTAAATAATAGTAATAATATTGTGAAAATAACATTTGTTTTTTGAGTGTGGAAAAGAAGAAATTACTGCAGGCAAATAGGAATAAAATATGATAGAACTGGTCAGCATGAAGTATTAGTATAGTGTCATTAGTGCAGCCTTCAATTATAGCATATCAGATTAAAGAAACACCATAAAGAACTGTAAGAATGCAGCATTAGAGTTCTAGTATATCTTTAAATAGAAACATAGAACATCACCTTAAATACTGGATTTCGTATTAATGGAAATGAGAAATGACGAGAGGAGATGACTGAGGAAGATGTCATTTTAGGGGTCTCAAATATGAAACAATTCTTATATTTATTGTGTATCTTTTATACACAATTACTAAATAAAATATAACTTGTGCTACTTTAATACAGTATGATTTTGATTATGTGTATTTGATGCAAATTGTGACAATAATGTGCAAAGCTACATTGTTTGACTTAGTAAGTCACAGAAGCTTCCATTCGTGAATATCTGACAGACGGTAAACGGTCCCTCAGATGGTCAGGGTGGCCAGTTTTGTTTGCGCAAATGCTGCTTTCTAGTGGTAAAGACATAACATTGCATCTATATTCCTGCCCTTAAAATTACTAAAGCAGTATTTCCCCCCCACCACATATGATTCATCCTACATATATTTGCCTGTGCAGGCACAGACACACACACAAACCAAATCTACTGCACTTCCTTAGTCAGCAGCAGTTCAACTGAGACAGCAGTACTGAGAGCAGTAGTATATTAAACACTTCCAGCTGTACTTGATTTGGCCTGCACACGTGTCAGACCACCCAGGAGGTCACAGGAAGTGACTCAGGCAGTGTGTTGGAGAAAAAGGTGTTTTGCCAGGACAGTTGGAGGTGGAAGACTTAGTGAGAGACAGAGTAGCTATATTTACACGTGTTAATATTCCACTCTTCTGATACAGTGCTATTGGGAGCAGAATTAGGGCACATCACTCAACAAAATGATAATTGTTCTATTATATTAGTTTTGTGATTTAAAAAAGACTGCAGGATTCAATACACTTAACCCCAGTGACTCATCAGGTTTTTCAATCCACTAAACAGCAACATGTGAATCTAGTTATTGGCCTCAGAACCTATGGCACCAGAACTTACTCGGAGTAAGGTTCATAGACAGGATGTTTTGGTTGAACTACAGAATAACTAGCATAAAACTACTTGATTAACTGATTAACACAGCAGCCCCAAAAACTATTTGGAAATTTGGGCCATACTTCACAGGGACACACTCAGTGTCGCTGATGCAAGAAGGACCAAAAGCTACTAGAGTGCTAATGGTGCCCCCTTGTGTAGAATTTGCAGTTTGCTAAATGTGATGTGCGTCCAGCTCCATGAAGTGCTACACGACTAAAAACATTAAGTTCATTGCGTTGGGAAACAAAATATTCAACCAAGTGGCCTTCATTAAACGGACCATTCCAAGCCTGTAATTTTCTCTTGGGCAAAGTATTCTTTTAAGAGGTGGCTGGAGCATTTCAGACTTTGGCATTTCTATCTCTGTACCTTACAGTACTCTTACTGCAGTCTGGTTTTGCAGACTGTAAAAGCAGAGGCTCTGTGAATGTGGCTATTTTTCATGTCAAACTAGCAACAAACAAGCCAGAGGCTTAAGAAACTATAAATAAAACCTACTAACTTAATGACAAACCATAAGCAATTATAATTATCCTTCAAATAAGCATGAATTCTACAAATTGTGACTCAGTAAGTAAAGAAAATCCCTCCTAAATTATTCAGGCATTTATATAATTAAAATCAGGGGCTAATTAATGTACTATTACATTATGACCCTATATTTCACAGCTTTATGATGAAAATCATAAGAAAAAAAAACAATACTGAGCATCACAGACTTAAAATATTTATTGAGTTTAATAAGCGTTTGTACATGAAGAGGCTTGATTGAATGATCACCAGAGTGAATCCAAAGGACAGAACTAAACAGGTGTACACAAATCGGCCATTACAGTTCTTTAACGGTCCACCTCACCAAACACAATGTCCTGAGTGCCTGCAAGGAGAGCAGACATTCTGATGTAAGACAACGTTTAATTATATAAGTTTTTTAAAACAGAATTAGCAGTAGTTTCTAATGTTTATATTGTGTGGATGATAAATGTTAGTCTGGGTTCTAGCCAGATAGCCTGCCAAGTCCTAGTCAGAGCCTTCAACATGACTCTGCTCCCGACCCAACAGTCTAAAACTATTCCCTTCAAACTGTTAGTGCGCAACACAAAAATGACAAGGATTACAGTGGTGGGTGCTGACTGGATACCCTCTCTTAGGGATTAAGCTGTCTGAATATATTTGAATCATTAGTCACTTAGTACCCTCACTGCACAAACAAACCTTATGCAACACAAGCTTAGTGTTGAAATGCCTATGAATCTAAATAATATTAAATATAAGAATTACATTTAAAATATTAAATATAGTAATACTACTACTACTACTACTAAAAATAATAATAATAATAATAATTACAACAACAACAACAACAACAACAACAACTATAATATTAATAATACTACTACTAATATAAATATTAATAGCAATAATAACATCTCTTACCAATAATGGCCACAACATCAGCAAGCATGTGTCCTTGAGACATTTTATCCAAACCAGCCTATGAGAAAACACAATGCATTA